GAGAGATCCCACAATCCCACGCGCGCGAGAAAATACAAGATGGCTGCGGAACACGTGTCGGGCTATCGACAGCGAAATAAAAAAGATATTGTATTTCGAGAGACGATGACATCTGTCTATTATTATAATAATACCTAACGATAAAATAAATGATTTAGAAAAGTTTTTCTTGTTTAACTGCTTTCCCTATGACTTTTTCTAATTAAAAAAAAACCAATTTTTATGTTTATAAAATATTTTGAATGAAAAATATTAAAATATGTTATTATTTTTTTTTATTATTTATAAAAAAATATAGTTCTGGCATACACAATATTAAATTTTAACTGACTTAATTTTGTGAATGCATCTTTTTTATTTATATGGGTATCTTAAGGTCAGTTTTTGAGCTAATGTTGCTAATGCACCATTTGAGCGAAAAAAAAAATTGTTAAGGAAAAATTTTCTGTTTGCAAACCCTTTGTTAAATATTTCGAATATCACCACTGGTTACACTGTATATAAAGAAATAATAAACCAATTACCTGAAAGGCCAGCGTGGGCTATGAGAAAATTTCCTTGGTGATCTTGCTCTAAGAATTAAAGGTCGAGGTAACTCTTCTAAAACAGATGGAGCCACATATGTAAAACCCTATATCAAAAACATTAATAAGTCATTCATTATTATTTATCTACATAATATATTAAATACATTAGCATATATTTTAAAACTGAAATTAAACTAGAACTCAAACATAACTTTTATGCATATATAAAATTTAGAGATCAAATAGAAATATGAAATCATACAGAAAATAAAACAATTTATCACATCTAAGTTATGTCATACTCGATTTGAAGTTCAGAGATGATGTATTCTTATTGGCATAAAAAAATTATTTGTTTTTAAAGGAAGCTATAATAAATTGAAAGTTCTGATCATCTCTCTTTGTGTGTGGGATGGTGACTGTGACCATTCATTGTCAGTTGTTTCTCAGCACAGTTCATTTGTCATTGCTCTCTACAGTTCTCCTCTCTCATTATAGATAAATTTATTATTATTATTAAATAACTGTCATTTTTATTCTTAGTGTTAGGTAGTCCTTTGTTGTGGTCACTTAGTCTATCAAATATATTTATTAAAATACAGATAAAGAAAAATTAAAATAAGTCAATTTTGTATTGTTAAAGTATATTAATAATTTTAAATGTTATGTTATAGATTTAATGTTTTAATAATGAAATAAATAAATAATAAGTATTTGAAGAATTTTAGGCCATATGATGTTAAAAAGCTGGGTATATTAGACAGTCTATATATAATTTACTCTGAATTTTAATTTATAAATAACAAAAACTGTTTACTTTTATTTTCTGTATATTAGGGGTTCCCAAATTGTATTTCACAGGACCCTAGGGTCCTGTGAAATACAATAGACTCATCAGACTTTATTGGCAGAATCCATTCTGCCAATAAAATCTGATGAGTCTATTGATGTATGAATGTGCCAATGCATATTTGGGACATGAAGTGTAATGGTTCTAGTCTTGGATCAAGTCCTCTTATGACATCCTATACATGTGCTAGAGTTATTTATAGCTTTATAAATAGTGAGGACCAATTTATCTGTAACAAAATGAACTAAAATCTTGATATAATGTTTGACAAGGTAAAACCATAAAAATGGCAAAATTTAAACCAAAGCTAGAAAATCATTTTAAAAAATAACCTTATAACCTTAAAAAGTATCTAACATATAATAATACAGTTGTTAAATATGATAAAGTAATTTAACAACTGTATTATTATTTATTCATTGATATCTGCAGTGCAAGCCTATTTAATCTAATAATGGGAGAAGCCAGTCAGATGTCCAATGGAGTACCATTGGACATCTGACTGGCAATCTGACTGGGTTAAGTTGAAAACAAATCCAAAACTATACATACTTTGATACTAATGATGGAACACTCATGTCAGATGCTAGTGAAGGGGTTAATTAATTAATGTCTCATCATCTGTAGTATGTTGGAGTGCAATGGTACATCATACAAGCAGGCATATCAGTCAAAGATTATTAGTTTTGCACTGCATTTGTTTTGTGATATTTTTTTCACATAACAATATATTGGGAATCATATAAATTTATAGTGCTTTTAGTATTGTGTATATCCAAAATTAAAATATCATGGAGTGTTGGCCATGAGAAGGAGATTTGAAGAAAAATGTAGCAAATACTTCAAATGTTTATAGTTACAAGGAGACTGAAAAGGCAGATACCAACAAAGGTACAAATCCAGGCACTAAAGCTATTTAAAATATTGAAAGAAAATAAATTTTATCCATCACATTAATTATCAGTTTGAATTAAGTAATAATATTTGCTTTCTATTACTAATCTGTTTTTCTTCTTCAATAAATTGTCTTTGGTGTTTCTATTTACTGTTTTACCTATGATCATTAAAAATTGTCAGGGTGCCAACATTTTTTATTAAAGTGAAACACAATAAAAATAAGTTGGGAATTGTATTGTATTCCCTACGAACAATAATTTAAAAAAAAATGTCTTTGTCTTTATTTCAGACCAACATTAAAAAGGCTGATATATAAATTTAAAGTATTTAATTTAATTATATTTATTTATTTAATGTTTAATTTAATAGGTCCCAACATTTAAAATTATTTTCTTTTGAGAATATTTTGCTTATATCATTGTTGTTTTTCCTTCTAATAAAGTTTTGTAGATAAAAAACTGTTCACTTTTATTTCCTGAATTCTTTACAAACAATTACACTCATTAAAACATTACAGTCCTCTTCATATACAGTCCACTTTTGTATAGAAATGAATTAATGCATTTATAGCATTAAAAAAATTATTATTTAACTATACTTAACAAAATCACAATGTATATTGTTGCATATAAATATGAAATATTTTAATCATAAGATATTGATAACAATTTAATATAATGGTAATAACTATTCATTCTCATAAATGGGGGATGAGTGGTTATGTACAATTATAAATATCTATGGTATTTGAAATTACACATACATTACTTTTATGTGAAAATTATTATATGTGATTATTTTTCTGTGTGCGCACTTTTCTTTTTACACACGACAATGGGATTTTTTTCCGTGCATAATTTTCATGCAAGCTTTTTTCATACACCCATTTTCAAAAATATTTACAATGGCAAACATGATTTATTGGGCAATCCACAATGCAATCATCTTGCAGAGGTTAATAAAAAATACTTATAATTATTCAAATACTTTAAATTTTGAGTTACCCCTCTTTTGATTTCTTCTGGATCTGTCACTGCAAGCAACAACAAAATAAAATATAAAATATAATAATACCATATCTCATATACTGTGTATGGATGATAAAAATGCTTTTACAATAAAGTCTTGATAGTTTGAGGCACTACCACCTTTAAACCAAAGTGCACATACTAACCACAATGCATAAAAATTACATATTTGGGTAATTCAAATAAAGTTTATGATGAGACACAATACACTGAAAAATGTAACATCTACTTTCAATTTATTGAATTGTGAAATGATATACAGTAAGACCCTGCTTAACACAGTCTGCTCAAAGCCTAGAAAAAAGCTCAAAATTTACACTGATTTAAACTATTGTGGCATTTCATTGATTCATATATAATACAATTATTTGCAAACACAAATCAATCAGCAAAAGGTAGCAAAAAGGTGTACTTTCTTTAAATCTATGTTTGTTTGGTGCAATTTTGGAAAAAATATATCATCATGAATATCATAGGAAATAGTAACTTTGCTTGGCAAGAATTAACTGATAAATGCACGAATGAAGTATGGAAGAAGTTATGGCTAAAGGTATCCAAGAATTCTCAATGAGAAGAGCCTATCATTGTATCATTAGGTTGACCAAACTCAACCTAATAGATATAGCAGGACTAGGAGNAATGACTGATAATCATGAGAAGGCTATTTCATCTTAGTATAATTTTTCTTTTATATACAATATACTCTGGAAGTACATTTTGATCAAATTATTAATGTTGGCTGGAGAATACATGCTCCACAAAAATTTCTGGGCTAAAAATTGATTAATAAACAAAAACTATTATGTTTATCTATCACACCTTTTATGAAAAACAATAAACTGTAAACATTTGAATAAAATATTAATACTAGTTTGGTCCATGCTGATTTATCAGACTAGTTTGCCTTCAAACCATAGTCTGGCACTCAATTTCTATATTGCATGTTTTCAATCATATTAGATGACAAAATAAAATGTCTGGCTGACAAATGACTCAGCTGCATTTTTTAAAATCAAATTTTTAATATTAAATCTAGTTCCAAACAAAACATGAATCATCAATCTAGGAATGACATTGATTATAATTTTCATTTACTGATTGTTTTGTTTTCTCTCATTCAATCTAAAGTGACTTTTCTTTGCATTCTCATAATGAAATCATCTCAATAGGCACTGTACAAATATCGCCATCAGTACAACCAGCAAAATGTATAAGCACCTTATTAATAAAATACACATGCATTAGTTGTATTGCATTGTATTGCACAGTTTAAATAACATTATATCATAACATTCTCTTCATTATTACATTAATTCAATACAATATTTTTATATATATAAAGCAATAAACAGCATAAAAGTTAATCTGATACTAATGTAGAAAGGCAACAATCTATTTTGAAATTTTACTATAAATCTTATAATAGTTTGGAATGTACAATGTATATATATATATTATCACATTAAATTTTAAAATGTCTGATGAAAAATATCAAAATCAAACACTAAAATGAAAATTTTTCTATTAGATCAAAATTTAACAAAATTTTATCTTACTCATTATGTAAATATTTTTACTGCCTAAAACTGACATAACATTAAGAAATACAAATGTTTTAATAAACAAAAATAACACTATTAAAATATTTCTCCAAAATATTATATATATATACACACACACATACACAATTTTTCTACATAACCATTAATTTACTTTCATTTAACTGCTCAGATAAAGGCTTTCCATTTCTTCTGATGTTTAGGTGCATATTTTTATATTACCATCATTTTATTATATAGAAACTACACAGAAAAGATATTTAGATATTTTTTTTAATTATTTATGCATAATACTAAAGGGCATTTACTTGCCATTCAACTTAGCACCAATAAATATCAAACAAGGCAGCAATTTGCGCAGTATCTTCTTTAACGATTGACTCCATCAGGAGACAAAATATATTCTGAGTTTTAAGAAAGATTTGATTTCTGTGACTGGTTTGATTCAATTTTTAAAATGACAGCTGTTTCATTCTGTGTAAAATATAAAATCACATAAATATGCGAGTGCATGATAATATAAATAATAGCTATCGCATATTATGGTAGGTATTAATGCTATTTTTCCATAATCTTTTTACAACTGTACATTTGATTAGCAACATACATGAAATAATACACAAATGGATTTCTTTGCTACTATCAGAAGTAACAAAACATGGAAGAAAATATAGAATAATTCCAAAAGTCTAAATCTTCTATCACAAAAGAAAGTTAAATATTTTAGTTTTCACTTTAAATGGAGAAATAAGCTAGTGAGAAAAAATTAATATAAAATAAAACATCCCAAAGAAAAATAATTGTAGATTAATAATAATAATAATTAGTAATCTGGTTTAAATTACAATAAACTAATAAAAGTTTCGGTTAATTTATAATAAAATGGAAAGATTCAACTTACTACAAACACTTGATTGGCACTCTCACTCAAATGAGAATCATCAGGACTATCAACTGCAGGTTGTTTAGTAAATTTTGTATCAAATTGAGACACATCATCTTCACCAGACTAAATAATAAATTTGAATTATTGAATGTTCATAAAATACAATGCATAGCAGAGTCAAAAATTTTACCAATTGTGGTTTGATAGGAGGTTCTACACGCCTGGCAAGAACATCATCCCAATTGACATGTTTGAAGAATGGATGACATTTGATTGCTTGGCCATTTTCTGGGCTACTACCTAACCTTACATTAACTTGTCTTTTGAGCAACTATAAAATTTTTATAAATAAACTTATTTGTGTAAACTTTCTAATCAATACAAATATAAAATTATTCAAACATACCTTTCTAATAAGATCTCTTGCATCTGGAGTTAAGTAGGGTGGCAGATTAAGTTTACATTTAAGAATCTATATATAAATAAATTTTATTGTAACTTCACAAAAAAGTAAATTTAACTTATTATAATTTCTATTTATTCTAATATTAAATAAAAATTTATTTAATACACTAATAATCCATATATTAAAAGCCATCAATGTCTAACGAGCATTCACTTATTTCTAGATCAATCTTGAAGAAAAAGTTCATTCTTTTCCCCCTGGGCCTAACAAGGGAAAACCTTCTAATCCATGCATGAAACAAATGATGTTTCAAGAGCTATTGGTTGTTTCCAAGAAAAATGAAAATGAGATTCATTCTTGTGTCAAATCCCTCCAATTACCAAAAAATGACTTCAAAAATAGCAGCACATATTCATTCACAAATAGCAAATACCAACATTCCAAATTTGATGCAGTAATGCTAATTTCTTCTTCTCTGTGTAGTATGCATAGTTAACTTGTTAAACACAAAATTTACCAAAATTGGCCTTAGCTGTTAAAAATGAAATTGGCCAATAGAACAGTTGTCTGACTGGTTTTGCTATACAAGTTTCCTTTGTAGTCTAAGGGGTAAAAACAATTTAGATTCTTGAACATTGAAAGAGAGAGTTTTCAAGAGCTTAAAGAGTTATATCATAGATTACAAAAATTTTTTCTAATGTTTCATGAAGTTTCATTGTATTTAGGTAGTTTGTTTTTTTTTTAAATCAATTTAGAGCTTTTTGTTTTTGTTACAGTTGTTATAGTGGAAATATATCTCTAAAAAAATGTGATACAAGGTCTGTTCAAAAAGTATCGGACCTTTGGTCGGCAAAAATAAATTTATTGACTTTGAGGAACAAAACCCTAATCCCCTTCAAAGTAGTCTCCTTGGTAATGTATACACTTCTCCCAGCGTTTCTGCCATTGCTGGAAACACTGCTGGAACGCATCTTTTGGAATGGTTATCAGCCGGTCCGTCGCATTTCGCACGATGTCTTCTCTCGACTAAATTTGGGTTCCTTTTAGCGGCATTTTCAGCTTGAGAAATAGCCAAAGGTCACACGGAGCCATGTGGAGAGAATACGGAGCGTGACGAACCACAGGAGTATTGTGTTTGGCGACGAAAGCCCGAATCAGATGCGCAGAATGGGCGGATGCGTTATCACGATGGAGCTGCCAAGTTTTGATCGACCACAGATCC